CATTAAACATTACCGTTCCAAAAACTGTTTGATTAGAAAAAATACCGGTTAATAACGTTATTTTAATTTAGCCTATACTTTAAACAAATATGTATAAATTAGGGATGAGTCATGATTTTCGAATATTCGATTAGTTGATTTTATTATAGAATATCGAATAGGTTGTGCGATTATTGTCTTTAAAAAAATCCCCATGTTTTCGGTTCTGATGTGGTGGTGACGCGTTCATGTAACCAATAACGCACATCAAAGCTGTCAATCAACTATATCAGACAACAGAAGAACAACACATTTTATCACACCAGAGCATGTGAGCGGTAATATTTCCTCCAGAGCAGAGAGAGTCTTTCTGGAGATTACACTCGCTCAGAATGCCCTTAGTGACATGCTGGTTCGACAATATGTGAAATAAGTAGGGCTGCCCGTGCACGACTAAAGTTTTTTCTAGACGATTAGTAGTAGTTCATTTAAGCCATTAGTCTAATCGCATATTTATATTAATTTAATTACTTAAATATAGACATGGGAGAGAATACTAAACCATAATGAGCGTTTTCGTAATATATAGGCTATTGCCTATTCCACACTCAAACGCACGCATAAAGCTTGCCACAAAGAACCGGCAAAAGTAGACTAATGATTATGCGTGAGACATTTTAATTGTTTATTAATAAACTAGTGTTTTCTGTGTCAGTTGCAAAGATAAAGTTGACAATGCTGACTCGCCGTCTTCGCATTAGTGAACGTGCATATAGAGAAATGCACACTTCATAAACGAATTAGCCTACATAAGCAGAGAGTAGCACATTTCTTTTTGTTTCGAATAGATGTTCATGTCTTTCTTTCTTCAGTGGAAAAGAAATTAACTTATCTAGTGAAACGATCAGTCATTTTCTAAAAAAAAAGAAAAATGTATATACTTTTTACCACAATTGTTCGTCTTGTGCTGGTCTTGCGACACGCCAGGCATTATGTAATCACGTTGGAAAGGTCACGCTGGATGTAGGCTGAAGTACCGCCCCATTGTTTACAAGCGTGAAGGAGGATTGTTCAAATTTTATTGTATGTTGAATGACATATTTATGTCTTTGTGTCAGTTTATTGTTTAAAATGGTCCTTTCGTGTGCGTATCCTGGATGTTTAAAACAACGGGGCGGTACTTCGGCCTACTTCCAGCGTGACCTTTCCAACGTGATTACGTAATGCTTGGCGCGTCGCAGACCAGCACAAGATGAACAATTGTGGTTAAAAAGTATATACATTTTTAAGAAAATGACCGATCGTTTCGCTAGATAAGGCCCTATTCCTCAGCTGGGATCGTGCAGAGCCCTTTGAAGCTCTTCAAAGCCCTTTGAAACTGCATTGATTTGGACTTTAACAATTTGGTTACCGTTGAAGTCCATTGTGTGGAGAAAAATCCTGAAAAGTTTTCCTCAAAAAACTTAATTTCTTTCCACTGAAGAAATAAAGACATGAACATCTTGGATGGCATTGGGGTGAGTAAATTATCAGGAAATTTTCATTTTGAGGTGAACTAATCCTTTAAGACTGTTAGACCATATAGAAGTGTAAGTTGTTAAGTGACTAAATGCCAGTTGGCAGGGCCAATGGTGCGATGCAAATATGCAAATGTATTTGCCCATGTGACATCCGTGTTTCCGCTACATTCATTCTGACGTGGTGGGCCGCCACACCTAAAATCATCCCGCCACGGCTGCAGCTTTTCGGTCCGATATTGTGCATACTATTGTGTTATTGTTAAGCCCCACTAAAGGCATACAAAACATTGCAAAGCACCATAAAGTTTTCGCACTATATTCCAAGACTTCTAAAGTCATTCAATAGCATAATGTTAAAGTTAAAGTTAACTTGTTAAAGTTAATGGAAACTCATCTCTCCTCAGTCATTCTCCATTCAGCATTCAAACAGCACGTCACGTTCGGTTACGACAGTAACACGACGACACTCTCTTCAAGATCAATGTTCCCATTATTAGACTTTATTTGTAGATAAAGGTCTATAGTTTGCATAAAATGACTTTATCTTGCTGGAGTTTATAGCGCTTTCTAAATCATATTCCTTTCTCCTGGGTGTTTGTTACTACAGCACTAGAGTAGAGAGCACTATGAATTGTTCTTCATGCGCACTGTAAGTTAACTGAAATTTAAAACTGTTAAAAGAAAAGGCTCAATAAACTGTTGCATAGATATAATACATTAAGCATAGATAGATATAATCTCTTCGCTTTGTGCTTTGAACTTTTCAATGCGAAGCGCTGCACGCTGTGACTTCGCGTTGCTTCAAGTGCATCATTCTGCGCACGGGATGCGCATAATCGCTTTGCCGCTCTTATTGGCCCCTTTCATGTTATAATGCTTAGGGGAGGTTTAAACACCTGGGATAAGGGGGCGTGGCCAATGGGAATATCACTCATGGGCCACGCCCCCTCCCCCTGGCGAAATGGGCCTGCCACCACGGCTGGAAAAAATCCTAGAGGAAACACTAGACATCACAGATCCTATTGAACTATTTTTGGAGCTTTGTTAGATAAATGCTTTGTTTATAATGCGGAGACGTGTTAAGCTTAGGGGTTCGACGAAGTCAGATTTTTTTTTACGTCAACATTTATGTAATTAAAGTCGAGTCAACCTGAACCTGAGACTGATGTGCGCGCTACTGTCTGTATGCGTGTACTAGGGATGAGTCGCGATCTTCGAATAGTCGAACTGCGTTCGAAATTCGATCATAAAATTGCTTATTCGAATATCGTTATATTTTCGCGCAATTCCAATGTGACATAATTGACGGCGCGCCTACTGTCCTAGATCGCGCAGCAGGGTATTTTCCTGTCGGGGACACAAGGTGTCACTAACATGAATGAAACCCCCTCCTGCGCGATCTAGGATACCAGTGTTTTATACATAGTGTAAACAAACAACAGAAGAAGAGCATTGTCGTGACCGTTAACTCTGCGCCCAACAGAGGTGGGTAGTAGACTAACCTTTACTGTCTATGGTAGTAACCGTCTATGGTAGTAACAAAGTAGGCTACATTTACTTCACTACGTTGGGCGACGTTCCTCTCGTTACTTTATTTTAATGAAATACATGTTGTTAAATGCGTAGTTTATTCCAAGCGCGCTGTGTCTTTTTTATGGGCATGCCATGAGCGATGCTCCATTCACAAATGAATCACTCTTTTGAGTCGATTCTGTTCAAAGACTTCATCAAACAAGTTGGCAGATCTGTCTAAATCGGTTCGCGAATCAGTTTGAATGATCTGTTCAGTTCCTCACGCACTGAATCGTCTGAAGCGCTTTCAATTCACACTCGACACGGAGTCGTAACAGGAAGTTAAGAACATCAAGAGCGTTGGATGAAGTGGCCGTGGACCTACAGTACAGTCTAGTGAAAGCAAATCTGCAAATGCATAATATTTTGCCAGCGATGAAGATCTAGTTGAACATCTTCGTATGATGTCTGTGAATGAATGATTCCACAGGATACATTCGAGTTCATTTCATTCAGGTAATACATTTTACAACCAAACAGATTATTACTCGACGATAGAACTACAAGTATGATGACATTATCCGTTTTTTGGACATATACATTAATTTATAGGCTACATTAAAAAAGCTACCATTGTCCACAGTTTATGAAATGAACACCCGCCAACCCGCGGTACTGTGTGTGTATTGCGCAGTGGCATCACACGAATAGTTTGGTTTGAAACTAATTTGTTCAAAAAGTAGGTTTTTGCAGTAACAAGGCAGGTTTGCATAAAATCATTATGACATTATTTTTTTATCTAACGAGCATCTGGTTTGGCGATGCGAAAGCGGACTGTCGTGCTTATTGTTTTTTTCTTCTATGTTAAGTTAACTACCGGTATGTTAAAAAAAAAGACGAAAACATGTTAATTGTTCAATTAATAAACAGTTTGTTTGATGACAAATCGCTAAAGATGAAATTGGCCTCCCTTTCTGTCATTGTGAGTGTGCGTTTTTTTTTTTTTTGATTTTCGAACGATAATCGACTTTTGCTCCTCGATTTTCGAATGGCATTTTTGGCAGAAATTCACATCCCTAGCGTGTACGTTACAATGCAGCAGCGCATTAGTTTAGAACGGCAATTAACTTACATTTACAGTAAGCTGTTTAAAATGTGCATTCACCCGATCAGTTTTGAGCATCCAGATGGTATAATCAAACGTATGGTGGAGCGCTCACAGAGTATGCTTTTATTGTAATTTTAACTGTTGGAAACTGAGCGTAAAACTTCAGTTTTCATATCCTGTTGCGCCCTCTATAGGCCATGATCAGCGACTAGTCGACGTCAAGCTTAAAGCACCATGGCAGAGCATTAAAGTCAACTAGTCTTTGCAACCCCTAGTAAAGCTATGATATAAAGACCTATTATACGTTAAAAGATCAAAGAGGATGTGAACAGCTTCGAGTAGAACCATAAGGTTATTACGACACGAGTAGCATGTATGACATGCCAATTTAAAACTCAATTGAAATCAATTGTAATTCAAGTTTCCCATGTACTTTGCACTAGTCACTCACTGTTTTGATTAGGTTGCTGCCTATATACTGCCTATGAAAGCAGTATAAAGCAAGATATCTCACTGGGCTTTGAAACAGAGCCATTGATTTTTCTACTTAACAGATCAAATTAATTCACAGCATAAAGAGGTGAGCTTTTCCCCCAAATAGACAAAATAGATCGTTTTAAAAAATCATCAGTAAATTAACTAAATCTCTGATTGACCGAACAACAGTTCATCATGTTGAGCACAAATCAGTGACCTTCAGTCTGATGAGAGATTGACTAAGAGTAGCACCGTTCATCCCTGAGGGGGGTGAAATTTAGGGACCAGAAAAGGCAGCAATGGAATGAAAGGAAATGATGATAAAAGGGTTTGGCTCTGAAATCAGTCTGGCAAACCTGAAAGAGTCATTTGGAGCTGAGGTTAGGTGAGGTAAGGTGGTTTACCTGTGCCACACCTGTGACAGTAATAGCTACCCCCTCCGCTGTCTCTACATCCTCACACTTGGGTTGCAGGGTCATAATCTCAAGGGTTATCCTGTGGAAAACGCAAAAAAGGAAACAAAACAAAAAAGTTGGCTATGAACTACGGGAAGAATGTCGAGCGGTGTGAAAATAGGAAGAAGGTGGGGTTAAAGGAAGGCGTGAAGGTAAACAACACAAAATGAATCTGCAGGGTGAAAATACGAAGACACAACCACTTCGTCAGCACAAATCAGGTGTTTTGACCATGGGCTGTAATGGAACTGTCTGGATTCAGATTCCCAGCAACTCAAAGATTATATCCCGACCCACAATATTCCCAAAAGCCCATGATCCGTCCATCGCCATCCATTACAGACCCAACAGTCAGAACATGCTGACGTGAGCCATTAGTTACATGAGCCATGAGCGCGCTGCGTAGCCAAACATCAGACAAGGATAGTGAGAGATGACTGGCTCTCCTACACTGCAGAGGAAGACCAACACAAGAGTGTGGAAGAGAGCATGAGAGCATGTGTATGTGTGCGATGCAGGAAATGGAACCAGGCCACTGCCCTTCATACCCTGAGCACCTAGAATATTTCTCATTGTCTCATTTGGTTTGCTTGTTTCATTCAGTGCGATTACCTGAGCGACCCCTGTCACCTCCAAGGGGACACCCTCCGAAGTTTCGATATTCTCACAGCGACAGAGGATGGTCATTATCTCCAGAGAGAGTCTACGTGGGAAGATGGGGAGAGGGGAGGGGAGGAGGAAGGGGAGGCAGGACAGCACAATATTGTCAGTGTGTTAACATATGTGAAAGGGGGGGGGGGAGAGAGGTCAGGGTTCAAGGTTAGGGAGGATGGGCTCTGGTGTTGATTGCAGTTGAATCCAGACCATCAGGGAGCCACTGTCTGCTGCAGATGGAGAGATCTTCTGTATCATGTCATTTATCTTTGAAATCTCATCATTGACTCTGAATTAGGGCTGGATGATTAATCGAAAAGTAATCGAAACCGGAATTCAGAGCCTATAACCGACGTAATTTTACCATGTCGGTTATTTCGGTTTTTTAATCCTATTAATATTTCCGCCCACTGTGTGTTAATGTACTTTCCCCTTAAAACATATTACCGCATGTGTAGTCACGTGACTCCGCCCCGTCCAGTCTGCGACATTGAAGCAACATGGAGGGGAACTCAAACACAGAGTCAACTCAGCAACAGGAGCCGCTTGTACCAAAGAAACACGCAGTGTCCGTCGTTTGGACGCATTTTGGCTTCAATAAAGACGACACCGAACAAACTCAAGTCAAATGCAAACACTGCAGAAAAACTGTTACAGCAACCAAAGGTAATACCAGCAATCTGTTTCAACACTTGTGGCTCGTTTCCACTGAGCGGTACGGTACGGTACGGTACGGTACGGGTCGGTACAGCATGATCCGGCTAGCGTTTCCACCGCCAACAGTACCCTTAATTGATAGGCGTGGTGTTTGCCGGAAAGAAGCGATCGACGTCATTTTCGCGCGAAGAAGAAAGCGACATAGTAAACAACTATGGATGACATACTGCAGATCTTGTTCTTGCTTCTCGGCATGTTTGTCACAAGAAACAAGCGCCGGCATTAGGTGTTTCTCAATACCAAGTAGCCTACGCAAAGTCCGACTCAGGAGAATGACTCCCGAGGACGCGAGTCCAGTAATTCTGCTAATGGAACAGCGCGTTCTTGAAAGCGCCACTCAGCTCGCTCTGCTACTCCGGTTATCTCTGTATGTACATTTTAGGCAACAATAAAACGAAATATGTTATAAAACACCACTCTGCTTCTTTTCGATTTCATTTAAATACATTTTAAACATTATAAGCAAGCACACAAATGTGGTTCAGGCAACGCATATCCTATTGATTATATTCACTGCATGTATGTAGCCTATATTTATAACAAAACTAAATATAAAACACAGACAACCCTGCCTCTTTTAGTTTAAATTTAAAAATATTAAACATATTCCAGGCAATATGTGCATCGGTACAAATGTTGCAATAAACAACATTACAGATGGTCTTGTAATAAAATAAAAAATGACAATACTCAACCGTCTCTCTTTTTGTTAAATTTCAGTTTTATCAATAATAGCCATTATAAAAGTATAAATAAAAGGTACAAAAAGCTATAGGCTACAGTAAAGCTTTAATAACATAAAGCAAACAATTCAGTCAAATATACAAATTCAGCGCTCAAATATATGAAACTTCACTTAGCCTTCTGCCAAAACTATTGGCCAGGGAACGAATTAATAGATTCACGAGACCAAAGATCGCCTGTTAGGTCTATACAAGACGAATTATATCTCATGTTTAACCACTACAGAGACGTCAGAGTCAGCGGCAAACATCAGAACGACTAGCCGAGGAAAGGCTGTTCCAGGCAGAATGGATCTGTCAACCTATCATAAATCTATAAATAAACCACAGATTTTAGCTTTATAAACTACATTCTCGCCTGAAAAACTCTTAAAACTACATTTCGTGACACAATAACAGTAGTATTATATTTCAACTGTATATTAAAAAATGGCACTTCTAATGCCCTTGTAGCACGCGCAAGTGACGATACTCTGTCAACCAATCACCGTTCTGCAGTGAGTCTAGCTCCACCTTTTAGTACCGTACCACTGTGCTAGGTACCCCAACGGAAGGGTACCCAAAAAGTGGTACGGCACAGTTCGGCTTTTTGGTACCATTCACAACTTTTGACAGTGGAAACGCAAATAATTGCGTACCGTACCGCACCGCTCAGTGGAAACGAGCCATTGGAACGCAATCACATTACCGAATATGAACAGTCGCATGGCTCAAAAAAAGAGAGAGACTGACAAACGCCCAGCAACAAGTGCCTCCACAAAGCAGGTGTCGATAACACAAGCATTTACAAATGCTACACAATATGAAAAGGATTCAAGTAGTGCTGTAGCGGCGCGTCGATGACGTCGACGCTTCGACGTCAAAATTACGTCGACGCAATATTTTTGCGTCGACGCTTCTTCATTTATTTATTTTTTGCACCGTTTCCGGCAGTACAGCTCGCCAACACACGTGGGAGACCGAAACATTGCAGAATGGAGGACGAAGAAGACCACTAGAAGTGAATGTGCTTTCCATTAAATGAATCACACACAGTAAACAAATCCTTAACAAAAAAAACCTTTGCAATTTAGACGCGCAAACTGGGTGCCGGTGCGGTGAGACGTACGGCTCGGGCAGATTCGGCTTGCAGTCGTTCATCCGCGGACGCGGCGCGCGCGCGCTGTTGAAGCCGTGCACACAGCCAAGCGAAATGGGGTCTTGGCGGTATTGCGCACCCAACGCGTAATTTTTGCCGCGCGCTCGTGCGGACGCGTCGAGTATAAACAAGGCTTTGCTCCGTGTCAGCGCGCGCTCTGATCGGTAAAGGGGCACAGACTCTCCCGAATCATCTCCAGCAGTAGCAGAAGCACCACTAACTCCGCCTCCGCTTCCCTCGTAAGCTGATATTAGTATTTAAACATTCTCTATGATAAAAAATGTTTGTACAAAATATTTTAATAACACGGTTTTGCGGTTATAGAGTTCAAATGACGGTGTTCAAATACATAACATTAGACTAACGTTAGCCAGCTTATACAGTATCATGATTCAGTACGCTAGTTCGTATTTATTTGAGATACATTATGTTTTTTTATTAATCGAGCAGCAGAAAAATAATCTTTATATTAATCGTCCAATTAGTCGTTAAATTAGTCGACTAATCGATAAAATAATCGCCCAACTAATCGTTAAGTTAATAATCGTTTACCCCAGCCCTAGATTCAAGAAGATAGAAAGAAATAACTGATGCCATTTGTTACTACATCGCGGAGGACATGGCTCCCATAGCTACAGTGGAGCACTGTGGGTTTAAACAACTCGTTAGAACACTCGACAGAAGATACACTGTGCCATCGCGACCATATTTACAATAATTTATTTTGTTTACAAAAATAACTATTTTTAAAAGTTTCTTTTTTTAAAAGGAAACTTTCTTTTTACATTAAAACTTAAATGGACTTTTTTTATAAGACGTTTTTATTTCAAGCATTGTATGCTTTGTTTGATTCAATTGTTTGAAATATTTAATAAATAAGCATTAATAGCTATCTGTGTGCTTCCTTATTTTAGAATTACAAAGATAGGATTATGCACTCTTTCATTAGAAAAAATAACCGTGAACATATTTACAGTATAAGCCTTGCCAGTGACATAAGATTTTTTTTAAATAATCGTTCAATAATCGTAATCGAGGTAACTTGTTCGATTAATCGCGATTATGATTTTAGCCAAAATTGTCCAGCCCTACTCTGAATGGATGTCTTATTCTGTATATCTCTCCACTATGATGAGCCTTTGCACTATACCTGTTCGTGTCCCTAGACCACTCCTTTAAACATCTATGACAAAGCAATATATATTTCTTTAAGGTGTTCTTGCTAAAGGTGGATTTGGATAAAAGGCTGCATGATAAAATTTAAAATGATCCACAATTTTCCTCAACATTAATATTGCAATTATTTATTTAGTTGATTTTTTAAAATAGGGTTTGATTTTATTATAATTTTAACAGAATTCACAATAAAATACAAAGTTCATCATATTCTTTATGTAGGCTATGATAACAAGATGATAACTGTGGATTTCCACCTTCTGGACTCTAAAACCCCCATTGTCCCACACAATATTTAATTATATATATATATATATATATATATATATATATTAGTCCTTCAGACTATAATCAGGGCAAAATAATTACTATTAAAAAAAAAAACCCCTCTTACTATAAAAATTTTGAAATGTAAATTTATACACAAAGCGTGTACCATGACAATGATACAATTTTAATCACCAAAGCTGCAGGTTTACAATGTTTCACATAACTGTGAAATGTTGTAATGTTATGTTTCACATAGTCCTGCAGTTCAGCACAAGCTAACTGACTGAGATGGAAAGAAGATACCAGGTGGCATACTAATCTAGTGGATTGTTGGGCTAATAT